TATATGGTATGATATTATATTATATTGTATTATATTATATGATATTATATTATAAGATATTATATTATTATATATTATATTATATGATATGATATTATATTATATGGTATGATATTATATTATATCATATTATATTATATTACATCATATTATACTATATTATATATACATATATGTATATATATATATGTATATATATATATATATGTTTTTGGCTTCAGATCTTTGCAGACCATGGCGTTGAGGATGCCTCAAGTCAAAGATCCCTGGCAGGTGATGACACAGTGGAATGGCTTGCATAAGAACTTCTAGAAGAGACCTTGGCATGAGTCCTTTAAGGGCCTTATAGGGTTGGTTTAGGGTTTAGGCTTTAGGGTGTAAAATGCCTCGGACACTGGATCCTGAACAATTCCCCGCTGAACCCCCGAACTTTGCCGCAGAAGCCCTCAAAGGACAACTCCAAGAAACAAAGCGACCAGCCACGCCCTGAATTCAATGCCAAACCCCTAAACCCTAAACTTCGCAAGGACGCGGAAGATTCGGAGATGGGCGGAGCGCAACGATCCATATCCAGCTGGGGCATTAGGCGTCGGGCGCCTCAGGGCTGATGCCTTATCTGTTGTCGTGCATTTTTCAAACATAAGTACTATTGTGAACCTGGTTATTGTTCTTATCGTTATTATTGCTATTATGGCTAATAATTTTTGCTACTACTATTGTTGTCGTTATTGCTATAGTTATTACTTTCTGGAGGCGGGAGGCGTTGAGGGCTCAGAGTTCAGAGGGTGCCGCAGTTCCTCTTATGCATGTGCGTAGGTGTATGTGTATGTGAATGTATGTGACAATGTGTATGTGTCTGTGTATGTATGTATCGTGTCGAGTTCCGAGATGAGCCTCACAAGTCCCCGGGGAGACCAGCGACCTGACAGGTCACTTGATGTCAGCAGCCTAGCGGCTGCCCCGGAAAGAGACCCCTAGCCAAAAGATCACAGTTTGGGCATGTGGAGAGCTCCGGCCACACGGCAGGTCTAGCAAGATCGCGCAAATATGGGAGGGTTAAGGCCTAAATTAAAAGATTGGGCCCCTTCTTGGTACTCTACAGCGACGCGAATAAGGAAGACTTTGCTTACAAACAAGAGAAGCAACCACTAACCCTGATCCTCTAAGCTCAGATGCTAGTTGCTCCCCCCGCCCACCCACCCCCCGCCATCCACACACACACACACACATCAAACTGTCTTCAGGGTACGAACCCAGACNNCCCCCCCCCCCCCCCCCTTCCTCGGATAAAGTATTTACCATTGGCACTGGTACGAGGCTATGCTGGATCAGCTTTAAATATGTCTGGCGTGCCGTCCAGACGCCCCTCCTGAAGACATACCGGTTCCCTCAACTTGATACGGAGATGTCTCGCTCCGGCACATGGCTCAAGGCTTTTGAAGCCTCTTTTAAACCGAACAGACTTGTTTTAATCTGGGAACCCAGCAGGCCATGTATCTGCCTTCCTGGGGCCTGGCTTTGGCCTGGCTTCCCTTGGTCTTTGCTTCGGTGCCGGTGCAAAACCGCAGCTGCCAGGAAGATGCCGCGCCCCTGTTGCAGGTCCGGAGCTCCTAGAAGCTGCAGGGTGCACACTGAAGCGTGGCTTCTGAAATCAAGGGCATTCCGTCGTAGGTGTCCTGAACCAATAGCAGCCAAAGGTTCGGTTGACCCATATCTGGACGCGATAAACCCAAGCCTGGCTGCAACCCCGTTCCAAGAGCCCCTGAAGCCTCTCTCGCACCACCCAAGTCACCCACAAGAGCCCAAGTTTTCTCAGCCCCAAAGCTTCTGGAAGCCTTGCAGCGCAGTGTGCAGGTGCGCAGCAAGCAGTCCGTGTTTGCTGGAGACGGCAGAGACCGGGCGTTTCATAGCATCCCTCTCAGGTTCCTTCTTCACTTTAGGGTTCTTCCTTAGAGTCTCATTGGGCGTGGTTTCTTGCTGCAGTATCTGTGTTATACCGGTTCGCTTCCATGGGATGCCATCTCATCTCATTGCAACGATCAGCCTCATGTCAGTCTTGACTCTTGACTTCAAGTTGATACATGCAGGTACATATACCGCCATATTAGGTTTAGGGTTTAGGGTTTAGGGTTTAGGGTTTTTCAATTTGACTATGAACCTTCAACCCCCAGATCACCTGGTTGGCCTCCGGATGTGTGTAGCTGGTTTTGAGTGGCCCTCAGCTTAGGCTATGGCATGCCCGTTAATCTGAGCATAAATGCACCCATGCTACCCCACCCCCCCCGTATTGCAGAACCCTTATTATTATTATTATTACGATTATTTTTGGTATCATTATTAATACCTTATTATTATTGTTATTATTGCTATTAGTATTATTTGTATTATTATTGTTATTATTATTATTATTGTAACCTTTCTAGAACCACTCACAAAGGAACCTTCGATGCTAAGCGAAACCTAGGCGAGCAGCTCCTCCTTTTCTTGCAGACCAATGCGACGCACTGTGCCGAGAGCCTCCCCTACTCCCAGGCGCCTGCTTCCTCCTCTGGGGTTCGGGGATTTGGGGGGGGTCGGGTTGAGGTTTTCTAGGGGGTTTGGGTTTAGGTTTCTTGCTGTTTCGGAATTCAGAGTTTAAGGTTTAGCTTTCGGGGTTGCGGGTTCAGTGTTAGGGTTCAGGGTTTCCCCGTTTAGTATTACGGGCTTCGGGTGCAGGGCTTAGTGCATACAGGGTTGTGCAGGAACTCGCCGACCTGCTCTGCTTATTTTGCCGACAGGATATGCTGCTTGCTCTTGCTATTGCTTCTTGCCGCATTATTCTAGCCTGTGAGCATGGAATCTGCACATGCCTCAGCTAAGCAACAGGAGGGGCCTTCAGGAGCCCATTATCACTAGCTACTAGATCCCTATATGGGTGGTTGTCAAAATTATGGTCCCTTTTTGGGTCCTTATTATAATACGGCACCTATTATTTAGGGTACCCCCAAAAGGGACCATAATTTTGACAACTACCCCTATGTCATTCTGAAGTCTCCCTGTTTCACTTTGACCCGAAGGCCTTCTGATGGATTCCTCACCCTCACAGCTGGAGCCTTGCTAATCTCACCGTGCACTTGGGAGTTTCCGAAAATTAAGGTACCTTATTTGGGGGTCCTTATAATAGGGATCCTACTATTTAGGGTGCTATATTAGGGTCCCCTATTTTCGGAAACCCCCACTTATGCAGGGACGGACCACTTGAGTCGGATACTATTGCCACTCACTCCGTAGCACCATCCTTCTTGGCACTGATACGTGTGTAGCATATTGCCCACTCCCACAAAAAGTTTGGCGGCATGAACAGGAACCCCTAAAATGCTGGAACTCTAGCGTCCCAAACCCTAAAAACGGTTGCCCAATGCAAATTGAGACCCCGAAAAAAACATGAAACGAAAATCCTGCAAAGCCGCGTAAGCCCCCACCGGCAAGCCTAAAGCCTTTACAATAACGCAAGTGCGGCCAGAACCGTGCATGAAACCATCCATCCGTTTGTCCATCCATCCATGCATACCTATATACGTGGATATTTACATGTTTCTTTTTCATGTGTGTGGAAGACCGGTATTTATGTAGGTAGGTAGAGCTTCTACATGTGTATGACATGTGTGTATATATTGTGTGTGTGTAAAAGGCAGATCTACGTGCATATACTTCTCGCCCAAGTAAAAGCAAAGCTCTGGATGGAAAGGACGCCTCCCTCTTCTCGAAGAGTTCACACGCCGGCATCAACCTGGGTCTGAAGGACGCCGGCGCATCTAAGAGCAAAGCACTGCCTGGGGTTGGGGCTGAGATGTTCATAGTTTGGGGGTCGAGGATATGATGGCTTAAGGGCCGAGATCTGGATGTCCCGACACCGTGGCAGGACGTTCGGCACAGGGTCTGGATTCAAGAGCTCTTCGTCGGCGACGACCCAACTCCTGCCGTCACCCTGAAATGGAAGTTCACGCGAAAGAAGACGTTACAGGAACCTGGGCTTTGCGTCAACTTAAGGTTGAAGGTAGCGGAGGGAAGCTTCGTTGAGGTATGCTGTGCATGGGACCCTTTATCCCAGCTACCTGAATCCCATCTTTCGAGGCCCTTTAACATTCCTATAGAGATGAGCAGTTTGTCCTCGCCGGAGGCAGGCCTCGACCCCAGAACGCTCTTGTCCCCTGCTTCCTAAACCCTAAACCCAAAACCCTAGATTCGGGCTCTCGGATGCTCAGCGTGTCTCGAAGAGGATCACTCTCACCACCACCGTTGGACGCGCCATTGAACTTCAGGTCTTTCCCTCCATCGACCCTCTATTCGATCCTAAATTTTTAGATTCCCTCAATTTGGGGCCATATGCCCCTATTTGAGGGTACTTGAAGGATCCTGGTAGCTATAAGCCAACAGCCACAAACCCTCTCACGATTCCCCTCGAGGAGCGCCTGACGACGGCATCCCGCACGGGAGAGAACGTGAAGCCTGGGTTTCGCCAAAACAGAGATAGGCCTAGATAATTACCTATACTATTTGGGGGTTCCTTATTATATGTATAGTATAATATAGCCCAAAACCCTATTCTAGTTTTTAAGGCCCCTTCTGGGTAAGCCTTCCTCTCGCCGGCTTCTCTCAAAAACCCAAGAGAAGCTGAAAGGGGTGGGAGCTTCTTGAGACCCTAAACCCTAAACCCTAAACCCTAAACCCTAAACCCTAAACCCTAAACCCTGAACCCTAAACCCTAAATCCTAAACCCTAAACCCTCCTTGAGGTGGACTCTCGATCCTCCGTGCCCCAACAGACGATCGACGAAGCAAGGAGTCTGGTGGTTCTCCAGCAATGCAGGACGCTTTCGGGTTTAGGGTTTAGGGTTTAGGGTTTGGGGTTTAGGGGTTTAGGGTTTAGGGTTTAGGGGTTTAGGGGTTTAGGGTTTAGGGTTTAGGGTTTAGGACCCCAGCTTGGTGTTTCGGCTCTTCGGCTCCCTGGTGCTGTGCGGCTCTGCAATTCCTGCAGAACCCGGAAACTACGGGGAATTGTGAGATCGTCCAAGCGTGAGCGCTGCAGGATGCTGTCCATGAACATGAATTGTACGGGTTCCAGCTCTGTGCAGTAGTGAGATCCTGGGTCGCGCGCGATCTCTGCGCTGTGTTGGGCCCACGGCCACCGTGCGTTCACGTTTTTTTCTTACCCGCGCGCCCCAAAGCCAAAAGCTCAAGGCCACCCAAACAGGGAAAGAGCGAGTGAAGCCCAAGCAAAAGCCACCTGGCGGAAAGAGCCACGGAGAGGACTTGGGCGCTTCGGCTTCAACTTTTCGGGCTCGGGCCCCGATTTCTCCGCTGACGACGGCGCCTGGGGAGCGGGCTTTGGGACCGTGGACGGAACGGGCGACATGCCGGAGGAGAGCCCGCCAAGCCTGCCGAGTTGAGACATTGAAATCCCGAAGTTTGGCCATGCCAGTCCAGGGATGAACATGCGAAGATTTTGCGGGGTCGTTGGCTAGCCTAAAGCAGCCGAAAGTCGTCGACATGGATTTATCAGGACTTCAGCGGGCAGGCGAATCGATGCGCCGATCGGGATGACATGACCTGTGGCTTTATCTTCCACTGCGGCAGCTTGGTGGGCGGCGGGGCATTTGGGAGGAGCCGAATCTACATGTCTGCTCTTCGGAAGCAAAACAGAAGAAAAAGCGCAGGATTTGGCTAATATAGGGGCATTAGCCTTAATAATTACCTATACTATTTTTTTTTGGGGGGTGTCCTTATTACAATTATAAAATTATAGTATAATATACGTACTCCAAAACCCTATTTGCCCTTCACTTCCCTCTTAAGCCCTAAACCCTACACCCCGCAGCCCTTTCCAGGTTCCCGCGACTGACGTCTCCTTGGCCGCTGAGACCAGTTTGGCGCAAGTCGAGGAATCGCCCTACTGGTCGGGCTGTCGAGGCGGAGCCGTTTAGGGCCCTTAGAATGGAGGCTTCTACCAGGACCCTCCAACTCAAAGAGGGGTATATGGCCTCAAACTAAGGGTATTTAGGGTCTAACTATAGAGGGTAGATGGAGCGTCTAGGCAGAGTAAGTTCTGGGAGTTCTGAAAGGGTTGAGTTTAGGGTTTAAGGTTTAGGGTCAATGTGACTAACCAGAGGGCTCTTAGGTTTGCATCTATACAGCTTACTCAGGGTTCAAGGCTTGTGGGTGTTGGGTCTCTTGGGCTTCAAGGTCTAGAATGCTCTGGGGTTTTGGTGTTTAGGGCCCAGCTTTGTTTGCCACGGGCTCAACATCAGGATTCTTGGAGGGGCCTGGGTCCTTTCTGGAGGTTATCCACGGTGTCTTCGGGTTTTTATATGGTCAGAGAAGCACGTGGATTCAGAATTGCATGCCCCCGTGTGTGTGTGTGTGTGTG